TCCAAGCTTGAAGTATTGAACATTTTTGCCCCCCCACCCACCCACCCCCAGCTTGAAGGGGAGTGTTGAAGTATGAAGATGAGGTGTCTCAAATTAGAAGTTAGTTAAAGTTGTTAAAAGTCTGTTAGAGAATAAGAAGGGCATTGTAGTCATTTACAGATTAGTTTGTTATAACTAATCATCAGATAGTTAGTTAGTGAATAGAAGATTCTAGATGAGAGTTGTATCTATATATGTAGCTCCATCATACATGTAATTGATTAACACAATAATGAGAATGAATGTAGACACTTTTCTACTCTTCTTCTTTGCTTCTAATTGAGTACATTCAGTTTACGAACAGATCCACATATTTTATACTATTTCTTGTACTTTAATCATCACACTATTTAGTTATAAATTTTTATAAAAAATCATAATATTTGGTCATGAATTTGTGACTTTGTTTTTTTTCTTTCTATTTTAATATGTTATTTTTCTAATCAAAAGTCTTTTGAAATAATCTTCATATCTCTCAAGATACAAATAAAGATATGTGTACCCTCTTACTATCCTCACACTCCACTAATGATTTTCACTCTTATGTTACTGTTGGTTCCAACGATTTTATACGTAATTATACTTTGGTTAACTTAATTATATCACTATCATTAACTTATTATTCTCATTTATTGTGATGTGCTCATTGAATTAAGTAAAACTTTGGGGAAAGTCGCCACTTTTAATCACTTTGTTGACCTTTTAGTAATTGGTGAAAAATAGGCTTTATTCATTTCCCAATGTCATCTATCTCTAAACTAAAAATTAAAATTTTACTGTATTAAATTAATTTTATTAATAATACTTTAAAACTTTAAATTTGATTACTATTTTATTTTAATTATTTAATATCAAAGGATAGTGTGATTTTTTTTAATACTAAAACAGAAAGTACTACTATTAACTTAAGTATAAATTTTAGGAATCACATAGTTTTAATATGAAATTACAATTTATCCCTATTTAGTTTGTAATTACATTAATTCCTGAAAAAGATAAACCGGATACATAATATGTAGCTCAGATACGTTAAAAATTAGCTCGGATACATAAAAACTAGCTCGAATACATTATAAAATAATTTAGAATTAGGAGAGAAATAAGGGATTTTAGAGATTTTTAAAAATAAAAAGAAATATTAAAAATAAGAAAAATATAAGATGTGTATTTTAATAATTTTAACTTAAATGAATTTTTAAGGTATTAGTTTGGTCGTACACACTAAATTTAAGAAGACTACATAACTACTCATTTAAATAACAACTTCATTTATGAAAAATTAATGAACGCGTATATGTACACAACTACACATCTCAGCGACACCGAAGACAAAGGATGTGTTGTTCGGTAAAAAATTATTTTTCCAAAAATTTGACCAACTAAACATTACTCTCTCGGTCTCTAATTATTTGTCCATTTTTCCTTTTTTAGTTGTCCCTAATTACTTGTCCATTTTGACAAATAAAGAAAGGACAAATTTATTTACCTATTATACCCTCAATTAATTACTTTGAAAAATGTAAAACTTTTTAAAAATCTTAAGTTTTAAATTCATCTACTTCATAATTAATAGGGATAAAATGATAAACTCACTATATCAATAATTAATTTCTTAATGAATGTGTCAATTCAAAAGTGAACAAGTAATTATGGACAGAGGAGTAATAAATAAATAATATTTTCCTCCTCACCGAACACACTCCAAACCTCTCACCAAAGTATATATTCTATTTCTCTCATTCGATTTTTTTTAAAAAAAATAATTAATGTTCAAAATCGTTTTATGTAAAAGGTAGACGAAATTCACACGTAATTTATACAATACATACATGCAAATGTTGCTTAAATATCTTATCTTATTGAAACTATATAAATATAAATAAAATTGAATAATGACATCACCTTGTGTGTCTAATGACGTCAAGTGTTTTTTCATACTGTTAATTTTACAAGATTTTGACTGAAAAAAAATTAAGAGAAAAGGGTCAAAATGCCCTTAAACCATGTGAAATAAATAAAAATATCATCCGTTTATAGTTTTACTAAAAAATGTCTTTATCGTCAATATTTTAGTTCAAAAATGTCATTACAGTCAATACTTTGTTCCAAAAATGCTTTTATAGTTACTAAATGGGTTAAAAATATCCTTTCCGAATAATTATATTATTTTTTTTCTTTTTAAACACATTTTCTTCCTAATTAAAATATTATTAAAGAACTCTGTTCTAATTTTCTTTCTTTTAAAATTACTTTAACAAATAAAAATGTAGGAAATAATTTTTTTCTTCTTAATCTCATTTTATCAATTAAAATAGAATAACTCCATGTACCCTTTCGACGGATAATATATGTCATATATATATAAGATAATAGTAAATCCATCATAATTTTTATTTATGTAATGATAAAAAATAATTATAAGAAAATAAGAAATATTTTTTTTATTTTTTTTATGAATTGAAATAGGATAAACATTTGTTAATTTTATAAAGTATTATTAGAAAAAAAAATGTGTTAAAAAGAAAAAAAAATTGAAAAATGAGCATTTTTTACCCATTAAATAACAAATTTTTGCCAAGATATTGACAGCAAAGATATTTTTGAACTAAACCATAAACGGATAACATTTTTATTCATTTTACTAGGGCATTTTTGACCCTTTTCTCTAGAATTAATGATGGTTCATATTTTATTGAGAAGTCTTGTTTGTCTGTTTTTTCAAAAAAATTCACATAACTTGAGGCAGAGATTACTAACATTATTTACTTAGAATTCGAATATATTTTGATCAATCCTAAAAAGATAAATTTTGCAAAATCTCTTTGTATTTTTTAAATTCTGCACAAAATCAAATTACAATAAAAAAGAGTACATAAATAAAGGGTCGATTTATGATTACACAGAGAAACAGTAAGAATGCCACAGATGGACCATAATGTGGACTTAAAATAATTAGTAACAAATTGTTCTCCAATCTCCATGTATTAAAAACAGCTAACTTGTCTAAATAATTTCATTATTATTAATATACTATATATATATACTATATATATATATATATATATTTCTATTCTAATCAAAACAGTGCTTAGCTGGCTTGTCTGAATTATCCACGTTCAAGAAATGATTACACAGTCAAAATCTGTACATTATTAAAATGAATCAACAATTATAGATATGTCAACTGGTCCACTTTGTCATACCATTAACCAATTCAGCCTACTTTGGTTCGTGATATAAGATGATGAGATATCTTATAAATTTACAATCTATTTGATTGAAAATACTGTCAAACTCTAAAGTGAACAAGTGCAAACAAATATTTTGTTGATAAAAATGTGTTCGATATGCAGGAAAAACATATTTTTTTTCCAATTTATCTATGCTCATCAATTGATCACATATTTTGAAAAATGTTTTTTTTTTTTTAAATAATAAGGAATATAATCATAAGAAGAACAATATCCACTAGTAATACCCTCCAACACACCTCATCTTAACCTCCACCCCCTCCTCCCATATATAAATGTTTTTAGGATAATATTTTTTGCTTATCTACGAAACACTAGATAGGCACAAACTAGACTGACTCCCCACATCAATAAGAAGCTCACTTATTTTCCTTCACACTGAACAAATCCTATTTCTCCTATCAGTAAAACCATTTCCCTTTACTTTTCACCCTCTCCTTTCCTAACATTTTGCTTATTTTAAGGATTCAGAATGTATTCGGACTAACTTAAAAGCAGATCAAATCAACTTAAACTACTCAAGGCATCCATGGAAAAACATTCTGAAGGTTAAGAAAGAAAAGCAATCATCTTGGATGAGTACTATAAGAGTTGTCATTCTAAAAAGCACCAATCCCTTTAACAAAACTAGCATGGATACTGTCTAATTCTCCATAGCCATAGAAATACCTCATGTTTGGCAATGTGTACTCTGTCACAGAGTGAGCAGGAGACCACAGATCACCTGTTTGTCCAGGGTAAAAATTTACAAAGCAAGTGTGGACTCAAAGATGCTAACATGCACATGACTGATGTTGGGGACACATGGAAGCAACATTTACAGTGGTTGATCAAGAGTGCAAAAGGAAAGTCTCAGGAGGCACAAATTTACAGAATGGTACAGTTCATGCCTTAACACTCCAAAGAGATCAGAGAATATTTGGAGCCATAAACAGTTTTTGGATTTAAAACCCACAGAAAAATGGTAGTTTCTTTTTATAGTTATATTCACAAATCACAAAGCATATTAAGAATTTTTACATGACTGCACAAAGTAGGTAAGAATGATTGACCAAATTTTCACACTAAAAAAAGTGGAATCACAGTTTCCATATCACTGGTCCCTAAGATAAGAGAGATCACAGCAGTAAACATGAGATATCAGACCTTGCGAAACTAAACAATGTTCCAACAAGAGGATATAATGATAGGATGAAGATATCTTGCTGGTGGGAAGGTGGCAAAATCAACTCCTACCAGGATTAGAGAACTTGCTGTAAATTGCATTAAGCAACAGCTCTGTGCAGTTCCTGTTACACAGAAAAACTCATTAAAGCTTGTAAATTTTGCGGCTAATAATTGAACTAGTCATGCAATAAGCAGAGGGGGTTGTACTCTGATCAGTTATTTTAACGACAATACAATGAAATGACAACAGTCAAACTAGTAGCCACACTTCCAATCAAAGCAAACATATTTACTACTATATCTTAAACCAATGACCTAGTTCTATGATGACTACTTAAGCATTTAGAATTTCCAATACAAATTCGGACATCAATTTCTTAATTTAGAGTAATAAAATTTGTGCATATAAAGACTTCATAGAATACTACAAATCACAAGTTAAAAAGTAAAATGCCATGGTTAAAAAGAACTAATTTACTCTACACGAATGATAGCTGTCATAATTTTTTTTAAAAAGGCAGAGGGAAATGGAATAAATACTTGCTTTACACTTTTCACCAATCATCAGTGTCTTGACAACATAGCATTTCTATAACATAAGCAGATATGAAGAGAAGTTGCAACAAACATATATAATTTGGCGGTATGTACACACTTTCGAGTCTATTTTCACCTCCTCTATCTACCATGAAGGTTTATAGGAGAGGGTCCACAACAGCTATTTCATGCCAAACTAGCCTCCACTTTGCATTGAGAACTGAGGCACTCGACCTAGTGGAATGATTAGATCTTTCATGATCTCATATTCCGCTGTACTTATCTGAGCACCATCAAGCACCTGTTTAGCCAAAGGGAACAAAAGGAGATCTCAGTCCACCTGGCCTCTTTGAGTCAAGAAACTATTAACGTCTTATGCTGGAAAACTAGGAAAAAATAAAGAGAAAATACGTCAGTGCAATAATGTACTAGAAAAGCCCCATTATAGATGAATTTTAGGTTACGTCCCGATATGATAAATAGTCATATCTTCAATCCTAACAACGTAGGCAAACACTCCATCCACTACTATGTAAAAATATATCCTGCAGTATCAAAGGGAATATTTTGAAATATTCACTAATCTTCTCTTACTTTACTTCAATGAATCTAGACACATAATACTGTTAATTCACTCCATTTTCACATAAAAACATTTGTCAACCATGTATGCTCGAGTATAACTATTATCCTGCATTCTAGTTAATCTGTGGAAGGGTAGCAAATGAAATCAGGTTCTCTTGATTTTCAACAAAAACATTTTGAACCATGTTTGCTCACGTATAATTACTACTACTGCATGCTTGTTAGCGAATCTGTGAAAGGTTGGTAAATGATATCAAGTGGAGTTTTGGACAGCTTGCTCTGTTAAGCTTATAGCATTCAACTGAACCTCAGGAGGTGCCATATGCCTCATGAAAATGCCACAAAACCAAGTTCAGCTATAAGCAGAACAAGTGTATGAATCCACAAGTCACTTGCAAAATGGAAAAAGAGACATTTATTGTTGGAGGTTATTAGCGCACCTCCCTAATCTTTCAGTTTTCAGCTTGATGAACAAGAGCAGCTAAGCTAGAACAACTATAATGCAATCAACTTCTCAGTAAAAGCCAGCCACAAGACAACACCACAACTTTCTATTTTATCGTTGACAACAATACAACTTCAATGCAAACTCATCAAACAACTTTGTTCACTACCCAAAGGAAGGAATACATATTAGCATATTCTTAGTAATGTTTTCTGGCAAGCAGGAGGGTACAAAACGGCAAGTCTACCATGTATTAAGCTTTTCTTTTCCCTACCTACAGGTGGCCATTTTGAAACTGCTGTTATTATATGCCTTTCACTTAAAATACATAATCATTTCATTTTCTTCCAGTATAAGTAATCGGGTTATATTTGACTATAAACACATGTAATGGAATTTAGAAGTTCATCCAACCCAAGCTCCACATTTTTGCATCAAATCTCTTCCTTGGTCTTTTGGTTTCTCTTCCATACGAGGACGACATAGTCCTGCATCTTCTTGGAATTTCAATAGTACATCCCATCTCCCATCATAATGGTTTCATTTAAGAGGAGGAGTAAATTGCATACCGAAGAAACAAGAAAGAAGGTGGTTGAGTTTCCCTGTTGCCTTGCAAACTTGAGAGTAATAAATAAAACAAGGAAGAAACAATTTTTCAAAAAAAAGAAGACTTCATCAAAATCCCCAAGGTTCAACAGCACATGGTTTGAAACTTGGCGGAAACTGCGCCCGCCCATCTAATCTTCTCCACTTAAATATCAAACTACAAGGTTGAAACTCACCAATCTCGCGTTGTACTCTTATCACTAGACCAAAGCCCCGAGGCTTAAAAACAAAGATGATCGCATTCCTAGAAGAAGCAACAGGGGAAATGATTGGAATATGTTTTGGAACTGTAGTTCTCTAGAAGATGGGACAACAAAAACTCCAAAGAACAGTTAGGCCGTAATCACACTCTAAAGAACATGTTTCAATTCTTTTCTTTGGAAACAATACAGTCAACATCTAAAGAACAGTTGGTCCTTTCTAAGTAACATGAAAAAAGAACTGAAAAAGTAATGTCTATCACATATAAAGGCTTAGTGCCCAAATAAATTGCATTTACCAAAATATTCAAGCTCGAGTTAGTGAAAACTGCTACCATCAAAATATAGGCATCTATGTCCAATATAATTCTGGAAGGTGGCAAATCTAGTGAAGATTTAAAAGAACTAACTAGACCTGGGGAGGGGATGGAAGGGATTCCTGAGAACAAATGTTAAGAGTGAGATAAAGGAAAGAAAATTGCATGAGAACATAGAAGCTTATGATCCCAAAATTCTACCTTTGGAAGCGAAGTCCTTCTCCCTGTCATATATGGAGTCAGTGTGGGTATCCTACATACAGAAAGAGCATCAAGAAACAGAAGTACAATAAGTTGCCACTGCTTCATTCGGAATGCAGGGAGTGGATCCACAAAAGACATTGTATTTAAGAGGAGAACCTGCACAGGTCAAACGAAGAAGAGTCATCCTCACAGATGATGATTACAGATTAGTCATGACATGCAATGATATCCTTAAACCACAAACACCCTCATCTACGTAACTACACCATCACACCCAACACACCAATGGAAATCTCAGTAGATGGTTCTAAGCACATCAAAGAACCTCCTCTAGCTTTTGAAAATGCACACAAACCTCATTTGTAAGTATAATGGCGCTAAACAAGCTTATTTCTTCTCTTAACTTAAGAATTAAGTAAAAACCATGAAATTGAACTACATATGGTAGCAAACCGTGAGCAACTTCAAGAGTCTTTGAAAACAAAATGCCATCCCATCACCTCCCCTAGCCAACTACACAATGCTTGGCAGAATCATTCCATCATAATTATAGGTGGTACTTGTACTGACTTCCTCCCCAAGGACCCCAACCCCCATCACAAAATGTCGATTGTTTGAGGCTGAGTGAAAAGAGAGAACCATAAATTTGGACTTTCAGGTAGTCTAGACAATCCTTTACAAGCCTCTTGTATTCTGCAACTTCATGCAATGCACAGTACTGACAACATTTAATAGCATATTAAAAGTTATCTCCTACTGGGAAATGAAATCCTAAACCAAAACAAAACCATGAGATTAAAATTGCTTCCAAATACAAAATCAAAACAAAACAAATTAAAATTGATTCCTAACTGCACAAAAAAAGGCAACCACTTAATGTCTCTTGACAGCATGCAGAAGTCATTGACTTGACAACTTCCACAGTTGTGCTAAAAAAGCTTTGGGAAGGGGAAGGTAATATCTTAAAATGTAATCATACCATTCCTTGCTCTAAAGTTGATATTGGTACTGGCAGCCTAAGGTCAGCAACCAATCCAGGCAATGCTCGAGCAAGACAGCCAGCTAGAGTCTGCTTGATCTCAGTTGACCGGCCATCAGACAACACAATTTTGTGAGGATATTCTCTTCCATTGATAGACAAATACTCCTCATTATTGTTTTCATCATGCCCATATATAAATGCCAAGGACGATGATGATATCCACGTGAAGAGGGAATTAAACATTGTTGCGAAAGGTGACAGCTGAAGAAAATTAGACACACACACCAAAAAAAAGGTTAAGAAAGGAAAAAAGGAAGGGTGTGTGTGTGTGTGTGGGGGGGGGGGGGGGGGGGATATGAAGAGAGAACAAGAATATTAAACAGTGGTAGCAAGTTCCAAGAGTGTAAAAGGTTTGATGAGCAACTTACAGTCATATTAAACCCCTCGGGTGGACCATCATACCAACAGTCCTCTGATTCAAAAACATCATAATTTGGCATCCCTGGTTTTCTTGGCCATTTTAAAGGAGCTGGTTCTATATCAAGCATCTCAGTCTCCTGAAGTATTGCTTCATCCACTTCTTGTGAAGTTGGCAATATTACAATCCCGGCTTTGGACACTAAATATCACATGCAACAGAACTCAAAAGCAATTAGATGCAAAGAGTGTATGACTTACAAATCTCCTAATAAGGAGGGTCAATGAAAATGTCATACCAGCATCAGGGACATTAGAACCTGAGGCAACAGCCTCTGCTGCTTGGCTTAGTGCTGCTGCACAGGCTTCTGCAGATTCAAACCGATATGAATCATCATCCTCTTCCATGTCAGTAGAGGCTGATCCCCCATAAGCTTGGTTCTCATATTCTGATATTTTGGATGAGCTCTCTGTTTTCTTGCCAATGCCACCATCGATAATTTCATCAGCCCAAGTAACTGACTGAGACATTTTCTTGGAATTTGAAGATTTTAAAGAAGATTTGAGCAATTGTTTATCATGTTCACCACGGGACGCATATTTCCTTCCGTCATCCGACATAATTAGGACACTTTTGTTCTTGACATCATGTTGGGAAGGACCAGAAGACACTTCACCAGAATTAAATTTGTCCACCTTCAAAAATCTAGTGTTCTTATCCGATTTTTCTGTTTCTTCTCCAGAACGCAACTGCAAGGCATCAACTCGCTTTCCCAGTATAGAAACATCATCATCCCTAACTTTGTACCTCGTCTTCGCTTGGGCTTCTTTGAACTTTTCACTCGAGACAGCATTTACAGGAGCTGGAAACTTTGAAACACTATACTCATCTTGAGTTATTATAGTGCTGGAAAAATCAAACTCATTAAGTATCATGTTTTTCTCATCTTGGAGTCTGGCATGCTTATTCTTGAATCCTGCAAAATTACTAGTATTTGTCATTATCAACAAGGGCATAAATTTTGATTAGCTAGAATAAGAAGTCTCTTATATTCTAAAATTTCAAATGAAGTGACTCCAGCAAGCATAAGCTAGAGAACCATTCCCCTATCAACTACAGATACCTGTTTAGATCATTGAAATTCTCGTACCTTTGTTAATGTTTTTCAACAGTGCTGGATTCACACTTCGATCTCTCTGTGGAACATAGCCTTCAATTGCATTAGATGGACCCATCCACTCTTCCAATGAAACTTCACCACCCCCCTTTACATCTGCTTTTTCCTGGATTTTCAACTTAGAAGATCCTAGATCTCCATTTTCCTTCACATCTTCTGGGGAATGTAAATGCAAACCCTTAAATAGATTCAGGACTTGATTAAGCTTTGCTGGATTCAGTGTAGAACTTCTCTCATCCTGCAAGCTACCAGCAAATGCTCCGCTATTGACAACACAATTTGTTGAACAGTACATGTATGTTTCATGAAGATCATAAACTTTATGCTCCTTCAATGATATTCTGTAATGTCCTTTCCGAGACCTTTCAGAAGGCAGAGAATTGCTGCAAAGAGGATAACCACACGTGTTAGCTATTGATCGTTCAGTTACTACATCCTGATAATCACTCCGAGACAACAGAGATCCAGCAGCAATGAGCTGGTTTTCATCTTTGATGCCTTCAAGAAGACAGAGTTGTAATTTGTGGACAGCATCTTTAACAGCGACGGCCTCTACCTTTGCCATTAGAGAACTCGTCTGAAGTACTGATAACAAATAAAAGTTATTACAATAAGTTGATAAAATACATGATATGAGATGGATATTAGATATCAAAAATAAATCTCACTCATTCTGCATGTTATTCACCATGGACACCATAAGCATACAAAAGAACATCTATTATACCATATGAGATCTTACACCGATAAATGTTACTCCCTCCATCCCAATTTATGTGGCAGATCCAGTAAGAATGTTATACACAAGCACATCCCAATTATAGTTACACAAAGTCTCTTGATATATTAAGTTTTGCTAGGAGTAAAACACTTATGTTTTCTTTGTTCATGATCATTGCAACAAAATCAAGATGTGATGGTAAAGGGAGAAGTGAAGTGTAATGATGTAAAGGTTGATAATTCACAAAACAGGGAGTACTAATTAATCCAAACACAAATAACAAATGACGGAACAAAGCAATTGCAAGTGGCATACGATCAAACATGTTACCTGCAGACATCAGCATAACTACCTAATACTAAAAAGTATAGTCCATATATAGTTATGTGAAGTTCCATTGCCCTAATCGTGGAACTTCACATGTGCAATTGAAGGGGAAGAGTGAGTTGACTAAAGGAAAATTCATCTTAACAATGATTAATAAAATTAACTAAACCTCACTCTTGCCTTAGGGTCAATTCATCAACTATCAGAAAAAGGTTTATTTGTCCTTCGATTATCGATAATAAATTATATTTATTCTCCATTATACTTTTTCAAGAAATGTATCCTTATAATCATATTTTAAAATTATATTTAGCTCCACCCATAAAGTTGAGTTATATTTAATCATCACCCATTTCAAGTTTAAAAAGTCACTGTACCATACTATTATTGAACGAAAAAACCAACTTCATTGACTAGAAACACCAACTCTAGAGGAAAAAAAGGAATGACAGGTCATAAAAGTAATTAGCAATTTAAACCAATCAATTCAAGAAGTGACAAAAATGAAACTAGAACATGAAGAGCTTGGACCTGCAATCTATTCTGGCTTGTATGCGGCGCGCTAAGCAGCATGAGAGCTTTTTTGTCTATGTGAGTGTATAGTGGAGGCTAGATCACTCCGCAACCCTACTTCTTTATCAAGGTTCTGAATAACAGCGAAAAGAAAAGGAAAAAAGAAACTTGGACAGGGTTCTTTTCAATCAAAATTTTAAGGCTATCAATCATTCGTCGATATTAAGTTTTGCTAGGAGTAGAACACCTATGTCTGCTTTATTCATCATCATTGCAACAAAATCAAGAATGTGAATATAAAGGGAAAAGTGAAGAGTAATGACGTGAAGGCAGTGATTTCACAAAATAGTACTAATTAATACAAACACAAATAACAAATGAATGAACCAAGAATTTGCAAGCGGCATATTATCAAACATGTTACGTGCATGACTACCTAAAACTAAAAAGTGAAGTCCATATATAGTTATGCGAAGTTCCATTGCCTTCACTCCGCAACCCTTATTCTTTATCAAGATTCTGAATAACAGTGAAAAGGTAAGGAAAAAAGAAACTTGGACTGGGTTCCTTCCAATCAAGATTAAAGAATCTGGACAGGGTTCCTTTCAATCAAGATTAAGGCTATCAATCATTCGTTGATGTTAAGTTTTGCTAGGAGTAAAACACTTATGTTTGCATTGTTCATTCTCATTGCAACAAAATCAAGAATGTGATGATAAAGGGAAAAGCTAAGAATAATGACGTAATGGCACTGATTTCCACAAAAAAACAAATAACAAATGACTGAACCAAGAATTTGCAAGCGGCATGTTATCAAGCATGTTACCTGCAGAAATCAGCATGACTACCTAATACTACTAAAAAGTAAAGTCCATATATAGTTATGTGAAGTTCCATTGCCTTCACTCCGCAACCCTACTTCTTTATCAAGATTATGAATAACAGTGATAAGGAAAGGAAAAACCCTACTTCTTTATCAAGATTCTGAATAGCAGTGAAAAGGAAAGGAAAAACCTTACTTCTTTATCAAGATTCTGAATAACAGTGAAAAGGAAAGCATAAAAGAAACAAGGACAGGGTTCCTTTCAATCAAGATTTTAAGGCGATCAATCATTCTCGTTGATACTGAGTTTTGCTGGGAGTAAAACACTTATGTTTGCTTTGTTCAATATCATTGCAACAAAATCAAGAATGTGATGATAAAGGGAAAAGCCAAGAATAATGGCGTAAAGGCAGTGATCTCCACAAAAACAAAGAACAAATGACTGAACCAAGAATTTGCAAGCGGCATATTATCAAACATGTTACCTGCAGAAATCAGCATGACTGCCTAATACTAAAAAGTAAGTCCATATATAGTTATGTGAAGTTCCATTACCTTCCCTCCGCAACCCTACTTCTTTATCAAGATTCTCAATAACAGCGAAAAGAAAAGGAAAAAAGAAACTTGAACAGGGTTCTTTCCAATCAAGATTTTAAGGTTAACAATCATTAGTTACAAGTGATTCTCGTACCTTAAGAGAAAAAAGGCACTGGTAATTTCACCCTAAATCATCAACTTAATTGAATCTCTACAGCGCCAAACAAGGAAGGAATCAGGTCTCTGTAAGCTCTACAAATGGCGGCTGTAGGCTTTGAATTATTGGGCAAATGGCAAGGCAACTCTTATTAATAGTAGTAGTGTTGGCAAAATTCCCAAAAAAGAAGGCGATTGGATAACGGGTCAACCCATATAACCCACAGTAAAAATGGGTAAACCCGAGAGTACAAACGCGGAATTTGGAATTAGTTAGTACAATTAATTAATTAAAGGGGTCCTTTGATTATTAGTTTGGGCTAAAAATCAATCAGAAAAAAACGAATAAAAATATTTCTAAAATAAATTAATTAGAAAATTAGGGTTAAAAATAAAAAAGAAAACAACAAACATTTGTAGTTCCAAAATAGGTACCATCTTCTAGTCCTTTTTTTTTATAACCATCTATTCATTTTGTTAGTGATTTTACAATTACCGCTTTAGGAATTTTAATAATTAACATGCAATGTATACTAAATTAACAAAAAAAATCTTGATGTTTGTTATCATCAAATATTATTTTCTTATTTATTCAATTATTTTCCACAACTCGAACGAAGCAAAATAAAAATATTTCTACACTTTTTCTTAATGAATAAATTACTCCATCATATTTGAGCTTCTATATCAAAACATGAACTAATTGCTATTGGTCAAGCTTTTTCGACCACTTATACATACTTTAATAGTGTCATTAACTATACCAACATGGACTAATTGTTATTGGTTAGAGCTTTTTCGAGCACTTGTCCATACTTTAATAATGTCATTAACTTTTTTGAACATGGATAAATAATATGAGATCATTTGACAGGATATATAAGAATAACATTAAATAGAGTGTATTAATAATAATTGTATTAGTTATGTTAGTATTAATTAATTATATGCAAAGATCATTTCTTATGCATTATTTGGATTGATAAATTAAAAAATAGCAAATATTGTATAATTTATTTATAAAGATACATTCCACAAATATGGTGGAAAAAAGGTTGAAAAAAGATTTCGAGGGACAATTGGGTCTTAATCATGTTAATACATACATTAAATCCCCTTGCATTATTAGTACCATGAATTTTCATGTATTGTAATACACTCCTCAATACACAATAGAGGGTACCAAACAAGGTACTACTAGTGCACAAAATTAATGCACACATCATATCTTCTACTCTCTCCGTCCCATAATATATGTCGCCCCTTTCTAAAAATAACTGGACCACAATATATGTCATTTTATAAAATTTATGCATAAATTACCATTTTTTGCCCATTATACCCTTGATAGATTAATTAATTAATCTTGAAAATGTATTTACTTTGACTAACCTAGGAAATCTACAAGTAATTAATATCATTGGGAGAGTACTTCATTCATTAATTAACTACTTTCTATATTCACTACTTATTCTATAAAATCTGATTTTGAAAAAAAATATCAACAAACAAATTAAAAATAAAAGATGAAAAAAAATTCAAAAATAATCTTGAAAATTGAAGCTTCAACAAATTTTATCAAGGAAGATGACATTTTAAAAAGTTCAAAGGAAAATTTAGATCAATTTGAAGTAATGGAATTTGAATATTTTGTGATGTTGTCATGTTTTCTTTAAGAATTTATATATAAAAATATAAAAAAAAAAAACATTTTACACAAAATATATAGGAAAATTGAGGTGGAAAAAACTTGATTTTTTAAATTTTTTGGATCATTTGGTGAAAAAATTTGGCTCCAAAAATAAACTCTAAAATTTAAATAGTCATCCAAATGCATTTATATTTTTGAAATCTAACATTTCATCATTTATTCCAAAATTGTCATAAGCAAACATTAAATAAAGGCATAAGGATAAAATTACTTTATTTCTTAATGCAAGTGCAAATAAAAAAAGTGACATATAATATGGGACAGAGGGAGTAATAAACTCCAAATGATCCCTAATATAAATTTTCATGTATTAGTAAATACACTATTCAATACATAATAAAGTGTAGCGTTAGCATTATTTCTTCACCCCTAACTACTAACAGTGTCATCAATTTTTTTAGGAAAAGAATCTGATATACCTTTCAACTTTGTTATTTAGAGCTGATATATCCGTTGTTAAAAGTGACTCATACATACTCCCACGGTTACATAAATAGCTCACATATATCTCTTTTCTTATAAAAGGAAATGAAAAAGATTAATTTTAAATTTATTTTAAAAAATATATATTTTAAAAAGCTAACATATGTAAGATATCTTTTAAATACGCAATGAATAATCATGATACAAGCCAACTGAATACTAAAAATTTCAACTTATTTTGGAGTCTGAATTGTTTTAACAAAATTAAGTACTTCATGTGCTCTTTAATCACAACTAGGGGTGTGCATTCGGTCTTTCGGTTTGATCTTGCACTATTTGATTTGAATTTTTTGATTTTTAGTTTTGTAAAAGTGTAACCCAATTCGATCCAAAATAAATTTGGTTTGGTTTGATTTTCCTCTATTCGGTTCGGCTTTTTTCGATTTGATTATTCGATTATGTCAATAATTAATAAAATAACCAAAGTAATAATATTGAATCCCTTAAATATACTTTCTAATATAAATCATAAGAAAAACTTAAAACACAATACTTATAAGTATTCCTATTATAAATGTTCAAGTATAAAATATAAATGTAATCATCGTGAAATGCAATAACCAAAAAGGGACAAAAGTGATTAACTCTAACTTAATTCTAAACATATATATATATATATATATAAAGTGAAAGGTAATAACCAAAAAGAGAGATAATTCGGTTTTTCGATTTTTATTTTTTAAAATACGAAACCAAACCAAAAAATCAAACAAAGTAATTTGTTAATCCAAAACCAATCCAAATACAAATTTGATTATTCGATTTAACCCGAACAGTGCACACCCCTAATCACAACCGTCTATTCACTTGTCAATACCTTAACTTAACAGGTATTAATATAGAATCACTTTGTGATATGTGTAAAAATTTTGAAATCACTAAGTACATATTTTTTTCACTATAACTCTTCTCATAAATATTGAGAGAAATTAAGTATATTTATTGAGATAAGGAAGACAATGAATCAAATGATCGTGATTAACTCAAACAGATGTCGTAAGCTTAAAATAAACAACTCCCGAGGTTGGAACCACACTTCCCTTTCTATATTTGGATTTGGAGTATATGGCTATCCAAAAATCACAATTATCATAACACTAAAGATGATATTCACATGCCCACATCATATGAAAGAACTATAAAATTTAGGCTTAAGTAATAGACAGCCCATTAAAGTTGTTCACATAATTCACTTAGACACCTCAATTAAGGATTGTACCTATTAAACACCTATAGTATTTCGAATTGATACCATTTGAGCATTTTTTGCGTATGCGGCATTTTGAGTGTAATTCAAATCTGATGAGCGCATGAAAACATTTAATTAGACTTTTTTTAAAAATAAAAATAAAATCTCTTTCTTCTTCCTTGTGTTTGTCGCATCACTTTTTCCGGCAGCCACCAATATTGCTGATGCTATCATACACTTTCCTTCTTCATCCAATCTTTTTCTCTAGCTACTTTCATCTCCTTTATCTTAATGATCATTTAATTTTTCAATTTTTTCATTATCGCTGCTCTCACATTCATTTCTTCCTTCTCTTTTGAGCAACCACCATCACCTCTGCCATTAACGTCTTCACTTGATTGTTTTTTTTGTCAGATCTAGAATTGCTTGATTGTATGGAAGTAAGCAAAATTACAAATTTGCAATATAAACAGCGCCATCACCTTTACCGTTAATAATTCGCTTTGTTTTTTTCCTCCAGATCTTAGAACATTATTTTTCTCTTAAAATTTTATTTCCTTTTTTTTAAAAAAAAAAAATCTAAATCTATCATTGTTGATTTATGATAAAGAAGAAAAAAAAGAAAAAGTGATGGTGGTCGATGAGTAGCAGGGGAAGTGGGTAACAATGTTTACTGTTAAAGTCTTCTTTTTCTATTTTGGAATTTAATGATATGGTATTCATACCAAAAGAAGAAGAAAAAAAGATTAATTGTTGACTTTCCTTTTTCAAAATAGAGTTTTTTTTCCCCATTGAAATAGCTCAATTTCACCATTAATTATTGATTTTTCTTCAATTTTTGTCCAAACATGAAACAAAGAGGATATAACTGATGAAATCGAAGAAGGATCGGTTTGCGAAGGTGATGGTGGCGACGGCAATGGTGTACGGCGTCATTCTGGAAAAGAAAAGTTGAAGAGGTGATAATGGGTGAACATTGACCTAAAAATAGTTTTCCTTTTTTGTCATAATTTTTTCATTGTTATTTTGACTCAAAATGCCATATGTACGTTGTTTATTCGTGAATTTGTCACATCACCGCGAGTGTAATACACTCTTTTTATATTTTTAGTTGATTGTTAAAAAAATGCTTAAATGGTTCTAATTCAAGTTGGTAGAAGTGTTCAATAGGTACATGACATAGTTGAAGTGTCTAAATGAATTATGCGGACAACTTTAAGAGGCCGCAGATGACTTAAATTTATCCATTTGACTAATAAAGATATTTTCGGATGAGATAGTAATGACTATAATAACATACATTAAATGAGATTTACCGATTTATATCTTTAATTAAAAGTAGATTAATTATTAAATCACAATACGATAATAAGGAGGAGCAGATAACATTTTGCATGATACTTTTTAAAATTGGGCAGCAGATTTTAGTGCAAAAATCAAACATTTAATTCTTCAACAAGTGTTGAACTATCATCTCTACTATACATTCTTCTTTAATTTTTAGCTGAGAAAATGCAAGTTCAGAACTTCAAAATATCAACTGACTCACTTGAGGTAATTAATTTACTTCATAATAAAAGAAACTCTCTCTCACGCATATTATATGAACGCAAGAAAATTGCTTTGAGAAAATCCTAATCAAACATGAACTTTGAAAGAAAAATAAGATGACAGACTTGCTAGACAGAAAAAAATCAAAAACTGATAGAAAACCTATAAAGTAAAAACTACTCCTTTTGTAAAACA